CTATTGGATGACGTATGTATGAGTTACGCATGATGTAAAATTTTTATTATTTTAATAATTTGTTATATCTCATTAATTATAACTTAAATAAATTCTTATTTAGATAATTTGTGAAACGTGATTTAAATTTTTTTATTTATTTTTTAATATATAGAAAATAAGTTTTTATATTGTAAATTATAAAATAACCAGTATAAATGTCTTGGAAAGGAAAATTATTTTGGAAAATTTGGAGACAAGGTTTTCTAGGAAAATAACTGTTAAAAGTTAATTAAAATTTAAAAATTTCTATTATATAAAAAATTTGTGACTTTTTAATGTTTCGAACGTTAATTATTTTCAAATGATCCAAAACAAAAACTGGATAATTTTAGGCACGAAACTTTTACCCTGTTAATAAAAATCACGTGATTATTATTATAACAATGAATAAAAAGATTAAGACTTTGTTTACTGTTTTAAAAATAATTTTTAGTTTTTTTAATTGTTAAAAATTAAAATTATTTGATTTTTTTTGTTAAAATAATTTAATAAAGATATTTTTTAGTTTTTTAATTAAAATTAATAAAATATATTTTTTAATAATGATTATCCATATTTTTATCAATAATTACATTAAATTAACAATTTTTATTGTTATATAATTATCAAAATTAATTTTTTAATTTTTGTTATGATTTTTCATCATCATTTATGTCATCTAAAATATTTTTGAAAAAAATAAAATTATAAAAAACTTCTAACTTATTTTCAAAAATTAATTTCTGAAATTATTCTTAAAAATTGTAAAATAAAAATAAAAATTAAACAAACTATTATTCTCTACGGGTATAAATTATTATCATGAGTCTATTCAAAGAAAATAATTTCATATATATATATATATATATATATATATAAATCATTAAAATTAATTTATATGTAAATTAAAATTTAAAAGAATTAATCTAAAATATTGCCAACATCAATTATAATTTTAACTTGAGAAATATATTTTTTTCCTTAAAATTTATATGAAAAAGGTTTCTCCCATCCAACTTTATGACTTTATTTAAAATATCTCTATATTTCTAATTATTCTGATATATATATATATATATATATATATATATATATATATTAAATTTTGAACTAAAAATTAACACATTTATACCTATGTTTCACAGTATTATTCTTTTTTTAATAATAATAATAATAATAATATTTTGATTTTATTTAGTTTAATCTTGTTTTAAAAAGTTTCCCAGTTCAATTTGATACGCTTTTAAAGTTAATCATAATATTTTCTTACCTAGGCTAATCAAGTTTCGTGATTGAAAATTTTTAAAAAATTATAGCATGTTTATATGAAAATAATTAATTTAAAAAAATATATTTTTTAAATTTAATTATATTAATGATTTTCTACAAATTTTAGGTACAATCATTTGATATACAAGCTATAATAAGAGAAATTAATTTCACTCAAAGAATAAAAGTCAGGATCTAGATACCAATTCACTTTATTTAATATGTAATCATTTTTATCATTATATTTTAGATCATTTTATACATTACTAAAGTAATATTAGTTTTTTTATTTTAAAAAAATATTTTGTAAAATGGATCGATAAAAAAATTTATACATTGATTCATCGTGATTAAACGAATTAAATCAAAATTGTTCTTATTTAATTAAAGGCCATAACTTTTTTACTTAATCTATTTTATTTTTTAACATTTCAAACAAGTTCATCGAATTAAATTTATTTTAATATTTTTAAATCTCGTTACCCTAATTATTATCCAATCTCGGACCACCACTTTAATTTTGGTCCGACTAATAAACACGTGAAAACGATTTGTGATATTTTTTTATGACTAGTGTACCCTCCCATGAGATTGGATATTGACATGTTACATAATTAAAAAAAAAAACAATAATATAAACTATGAGATATATTTATATGCTACATAATTAAAAAAAAACAATAATATAAACTATGATATATATATATATATATATATATATATATATATATATATATATATTACCATGTTACTTAAAATTTATATTATCAAAGCACCAGTTACTCCTATATGAGAACTACGGAAATCAGCAACAAACCCTAGAAGATACAAATATGTATTAATGGAGGGGCACAAATTGATATCAATTAAGTTAAAGATATATATCTCTTATTAAATCTTAAATATTTTATGGTATTTTTATATTTATTTATTGAAAAATGGTATTTTTATATTTATTTATTGAAATTTTGTTAAAAATAAAGAGTAATTTATATATTTATTCTCTTTTTAACATATTTTTTAAAAATAAAATTATAATAAATTATAATTTTAAAACAAATAATATTTTAAAGATAATAATTCCATCGATAATATTATAATAGATATTAAATCAAGACACTCTTATTTTTAAAAATGATATTATTATTCTTTAGTTTTCAATTAGAAAATTATTACGAGTCTCTTGTATTATTTCAGAGGGAAAATCAAATATAATTTATATATATTTTTAATATATGATAATAATAAAATTATAATAAATTAGAATATATATATATATATATATATATATATATATATATATATATATAAAATACCTAATTCGTAATATTGAACTATACAAATAATATCATAATTATCATTAGCCAATCATAGACATTCTTATTAATTATGAGATGAAATAATATCAACACCGCAATATTTAGTGATGAATTTTTTCATTTAAAACTTTCAAGTATACAAGATTTTTCAAAATTTTAAAACCCCAATGTAATTTATAATATCATCAATAAATTGGTTAGATTATACATGTGTCAAAAAAGTATTTTTTAACTGCAATATTATAAAAGGCACTAATGATATAGTGAAACTTATTGGAGATTAATTAATGATTTATATATAAATCAAGTAAATAATAGTTGTTTCCTTCGAATGTTAGAATCAAAAGCATTGTTGTAAAGATAGAGTGAAAGAGTACTTTGTTTTGGAACGCAGAAATAATGAAATTGATGAAACTACTACTTTTCTTGTAAACGAACATGATGTAAGGTTCCTTCTCCCCCATGCCTTCTTTTCTGCTGTCACTGACATTTCATTCGAAAAATCATTCTAAACCATAATTATAAATATGAATAGGGATTAGAGAATGGAGCAGTAGGGACCATTTTAAATAAATTAGAACGGACGAAAGAACTTGATTTTTTTGCGGGCATAGGTGGCGTACAACAAGGTACATCCATCCCTAACAGATCTTCAAAGCATTTACAGAGCCTACTCATTCCAGAAAACTCCAACACCTTTGTTATGATACAACATGACCGCACTCTAACTATATGGTACTAGTTCAAGAGTGATCGAAAACATAATAGAGCTACACAAAACTTACGAGTGTTTCATTTGTAATCATGCCTATACATTGATCATGGGCAAGAAAATTCTTAAGGTGATGATGGATATACAATTCGATATCTTCAAAAATGCTTTCATTGAGACTACAAAATTACATATCCGTAATGAAACAAATATGATCAAGTTGGAAAAATAAGAGAAAAAAAAATCTAATTATTGAGGCGCATGCTAGATAGCAGTCAAGTACTTGCACACGGAAACTATGTCAGCATGCTTCTCGTGGTCGTGGCTCACTTAAAACCACACGTGCATGACCTTTTCTCATTCCCCTTCCCATCACACAAAACACTTCCTTCCACATCTTGCAATGGTGTACTTTTTTCCTTTCTTATTTATCTTCCTTTTTTTTCCTTCTGCAGTTTCTCTTCCCTTTAAACTTTTAAACTTTAATCCTGCATAAAAATCAGCTATACCCTCTCAATAAATAATGGAAATGAAATTTAGGAAAGGTTTTTATACATTTTTTGCTAGTAACAAAATTTCCACCGACAATATATATGAACGCTGATTTTGTTAGACATGGGATCTTTTATATGAATGCGTTCACACTAGTTAAGGTTTGTGGTTCCGAATCCTTGGTTTGTTACTTACTCCCCTCGGATATGGTTGGATATGATGTGGTCAGTTTACCAATAAAAGTTTATGAATAACTATTCTCTTACACTGAACTAAAACTGGATCAGTTCGTTCCAAGTTATACTCCAAATCGAAACCCACCAACGCCAAAGCTTCCATTAGTAATGGGGTATATTCTCATTTAAACACTCACTTTGGTATAGAACATGTTGTAAATTAGGTTGCCCCTTTTCATTTACGAGAACTACTTTTTTGGGAATTTCAAATGTTGATTTCTGAAGAGTCAAAAGGATGGAATTAGGCTCACCGATTCATCAATTTATTTAAGGATTTATTTTGGTACCACTTCTTCTTAATCTATTCACGAATCCCTGTGCTTTGCTCGTTTGTAAGACAATTTGGCCGAATTGCAAAGATTAATACCTGCTGCAAAAGCTTCCCATAGTGAGATCAAAAAATAAAAAATAATAAAAAAGGAAGTTTGAAAAAGAAAAAAAAGGAAACTAAAGAAGGAAGAAAGTGACGATAAACTTTGAAGGATTGATCAGATTTCGTAGATCACATGCACACGAGTGAACACTATTATTACAATTTGGCATTTTTAGAAAAGAAGGAGAGAAAAAAATATTCATTTAACGCCGTTAGAATCTTGAAGATGGCGGAACCCCGTTCACACACATCAGAAACCAGTTAAGCGGTCAAATGCTACGTATGAAAGCGTCGACCATGGCATGCATTGATTGCCACCGGCTCAAAGTTGTCCGTACTAGTCCATGACCTACAATTGCCGGTCACTTTCTTTTCTATCTTTGTTCCTTCCACACAGTTTTCACTTTCTTCTAAACCCAAAACTACTCACAAACTTTCTCTCTCTTTCACACACACACACAAGCTATAAACCAGATCAACCCTACCTCTCTCTCCTCTTCTTACCAGTGTTAAGTTCGAGTTTGTGGCGTGTGAGAGATGAAGGATTTGAGCATTTGAGAGATCAAGTTGTTAGGTATATGGAGAAGAAGGAGATGGTTGTGAAAACTGAGGATGCGGTTGGGTCCTCTTCCTTCCCTTGTTATAATTCAAACGTTTATCCATTCTCAAACGCTTTTGATTTCTCTGAGGTGGAAAAGAGCTCTTTAGGGTTTATGGAGCTACTGGGTGTGCAGGACTATAGTCCTCTGCTTGAGTTACCCCAACTTTCAACCGTTTCTGTGCCTCACCACCCTACAGTTAAGGTTCCATCTGATAACGGGAAAGAGTGTTCCGAGGTGTTGAACCACCAACCAGCCACTCCAAACTCTTCTTCTATTTCATCAGCATCCAGTGATGCTGTCAATGATGAACAGAATAAGGCTCTAGACCAAGCAGAAGAAGATGATGATGACGAAGAAGAAGAAGGACAGCAAAAGAATAAGAAACAGTGGGTTTTTACATTTATTTCATCGTTTTTTCTTTTCTCGGAAATTGCTCGAAAATTATTTATTTTCCAGTGAAAAGATTACCGATATATATGGTGGATTGTTTTTAATTTTGTGAAAGTATTCAGTGTGTTTTCTTTATTACGACCACGGTATCTTTTCACCGAAGACAATCTTAGTCTAGTATAGCTTTTATTTTCATTTTTTGTGGTTGCTCGGGGGGGGGGGGGGGGGCTTTATAAAGTTCAATTTTACAAATGAATGGTTCATGGGATGTGAAGCACACACAATTTGGGATGGTCTCTCTAATATAAAGTACTTGTTTTTATATGTTGTTTGGCTTTAATATGTAGCAAGGGATAATATATTTCATGATCCAATTAGATAAACAAATGAGTTCATGGGGTAGCTTTTTTTTTGTTTAGTTAACTTTTCTTTTGAGATAAAACAACAATACATGTGATGTGGTTGATGTGAGGAAGGTTCTAAGATTTGATGGTTTCTGGGATCTGGTTCTTATTGGGTTTAGGTTGAAGCCCAAGAAGACAAATCAGAAGAGACAGAGAGAACCAAGATTCGCGTTCATGACGAAAAGCGAGGTCGATCATCTGGAAGATGGGTACAGATGGAGAAAGTACGGTCAAAAGGCCGTGAAAAACAGCCCCTTTCCCAGGTAACATACGCTTTAATTCTCCCAGTAAACTCCATCTTAAGTCTTACCACGCCTGCTCCTACCTACTTTTTCTTCCTCTTCCTTATTTCTCTTAATTGTTTTAATTCACTTACAAGTTACACCAAGACAAAATAAACAAACTAATTAATTAATTAATTAAATAGCCTTAACATTGGGAATATACTATGTGGATCACATGTAGGAGCTACTATCGTTGCACCAGTGTTTCATGTAATGTGAAGAAACGCGTGGAGCGATCTTTCACTGATCCAAGCGTTGTAGTCACAACCTATGAAGGCCAACACACACATCCAAGCCCAGTTTTGCCTCGCTCAGGTGTCTCCGCTGGATACGCCACCAACTTTGCTTCAGTTTTTCCACCAGCAGGAAGCTACTTATCCCACCAGTATCAGCAGCAGCAGCACCATCACCACCACCAACAACTTATTTTCAACACATTGTCCTCTTTGGGTTTCCCTTACAATGATTCTTCCTCTCCAAAGAACGCTGGTTTTACTCAAGAGAGACGGCTTTGTAATCCGGGAACGAATGCATTTCTAAGTGACCATGGACTTCTTCAAGATGTTGTTCCTTCACACATGTTGAAAGAAGAGTAGAGATGATAACTCCATTATTCATGCTTCTATGTGGTTTATTTTTTGCTGACTTTTTCTTATGAGACTTAGGTGAGAACTCTAGTAATGGCACATGTAATTTTTCTTCCTGACCGATGGTAATATTAGTGATCATGATCATATATACTTGTAAAACCCACTTTATAGCTTTTTGCACATAGCCCCATCGATCATTATTATGGCTGTATAACATGATGGATTATGATCTAATGCAGGGACTACTTCTAGTTCTAGTTATTTTGCTTCAATATTAATTTTCTTATTATGGTATGGAACAACAAACCTCCTCCCGAAAAAAGAAGAGAAAAAAAAAAAAAGGGAACGAAGCATTCGCTGGTGGGTTGGGCTGTGTGTGGAAATGATAAAAAAGAAATAGGTAAATAGACTTCTGTCTTCTTTATAATATTCTGATTCTGACTCCTCGTTTTGTCTTGTATTTTTGTTTCTTTTTGTTGAAGGAATGTGCATTGATTTCACAGATGTACAGCAGTGAAGATTGTTAGGTTAAGGTTTTTAAACGGGAACGAACAATTGGTCTAGAAACTTGCTTTGCCTTGTTTTGTTCCTGGAATGGACCGAAAACTAAATATAGAAAAATGTTTTTTCAAATTAGGAGGAAATGTTGCTAAAAGTCTTCTCCCAATATGGACACGAGGTTATAAATAGGAAGAGTAATTCAACCACCCTCCGATCCATTTCGAGCTGCATGAGTTAATGCCTCTCTGTATCCTGCACGCGATGCAATCCATTCACGGATTGAAGAGTGGCGGAAACGGGGGAATTAAAGAACATAAACAAAAGGAGAAAAATTTATACAAGCTAAGCATATCGAGTGTGATATGGTCACTATGATGGAATAGATCTTGATAACGACACATGTTAGCTTTATTTATGAAGGTATCAAAGATAGCTCGTGCTTGTTTACGAGTTTTGTTTTATTGAGCAGGTGAGGCTCTCATAGTGAAGAAGAATAATTGAAGTTTTTGATATATAGCCGTTCACGGATAGATAGGCATAGGCTAACATATTGTGAGATGTTATATACGACACGCCACCGTCAAAGAAACCACTGGGACCAGCCCTCTTTTCTCTTGTACGCTTTCGTTTTCTTTCTCTTTAACGGCAAATGCCAAATACATTGCATCGAATTAAAATCCCTCACTTCACCATAAAGTGGGGAATAATCGGTTACCCTGCTCTCTTCTTCTAAAGCCAAAATTGTCTCTTCATTTCCCTATTTCTTCCATTATTTCGGCCTATAGACAAATCAATGCCACGCATTATGGCCTTGTTGACTTCATTAAACAAATAATATCCTAAACTTTGTTTAGAAAGGGAAGAAAAACCCAAATCCTTTTTAGAATCCACAAGAACTTCAGCAATCAATAAGAATTTTAACATCAAAAAGCAACACGAGTTTTGGCTCCGTTTATCACATGCCATTGCTTGAATGATTTAAAACGCCTTTTATGTTAAATTTCATTGAAGAAATATTTTTTCGAGTTTAAATTTTAGTAATTCAACGAGCAGACAGCGAATATTAATTGTGTGGTGCCTACAGTAGTAGTGGAGCCACACTTCTTATCTTGCCTCGTAGGATTAATTTATTTTCTTATTCCTCTCTCACCCACACAAGTGATCCAAGTACGAATAAAAATCTAAAGATTTCCTTGATTGACAAGCCGAGCATGAACGTGAATCAACGGCAGCAATAAGCTGCCCCCACCAAAAAAATGGAAAAGCCTGGCACCGCATCATGAAATGCGAATAGCACGCCTTATTCAACAAAAAAACGTCCATGTTTTTTTTTTGGTGTGCATGTGTGAAGGGGCCTGTTTTACAATCACCTGAATTATCCTACCTCAGCAAGTTTAAACAGTTTTAACTACTTCCATTTTAGTGGATCATTCATCTATCAATGTAGTAAATTACACAGAATATATCTTTTCATGTGCACTTCCAATTATGAAAATAAAAATGCAAAAGAATTTCCCATTGACTACATTTAGCTGCTGCAAGTAAATTGAGAAGTGAGAGTATATTACTATTGCAAGACACTTTAATTTAAATCAACAATTTTAATTGTGAAATTGAGAAAGCATGTTAAAAGTGAATAACATTTTAATAATTTTTCTGTTATACAGAGGTGATGGATATTAGTGGTTTTGTTTTGAGCGGTATAAAAAATATTACTGATAAATTTTGATATCAAACAAAAAGAACAAACATTAGAAGATAAATTTTGAAGCAATTTAAAAAAGTCTTAATAATTTTTTAATAATCTTGAAATTCAGGCTACCAAGAATAATATAATTAAACCTGCCGAACAATAGGACTTGTTTCTGACAGCCAAGAAACTTCATTTTTGTCCTGCATAATTAGATCAACTTAAATGAAGTAGCAGACTATGAGCAAATAAATTTTAGCACCAAACACAAGTCACTCTGTGAAATACACGAGTAAATAAGTTTCGAGTTTGAAAATTAACTGTCACAATGCCCAAAATATTGGCATGTGCAAGAGCAAGAAATGGAAGAGCCTAACCGTTCTCAATGCCCAAATAGCAACAAGTACAAAGTAACCAAAATATTTCAATGAAAAAAGCCAGAATATCTACTCTGGGAGTGGGAGGGAAAAGTGAGGAGGGGAATCACTAATTGTTTTGAATGTAGAATACAAAAAAATTATGGACTTCACCAGCACACAAAGTTGACAGAATAAACCCTGTTTTGGTTACTCTTGCAGATGATCTAAATTAGAATTATTTTAATAAATAGGAATATGTCATCTGAATGCACAGGGAGATTGTCAAATTTGTACAAAATAAAGAAATTATACCATAACATATGTTACTGCAAGACAACTAAGTTTATTCATAAATCAGAGTTATAGCATGATGAACTTCAATGGGACTACACTACACTTTTGAAACGATAATCAACCAATTAGAAACATGGTTTCAAAAATCTGTCTATGGCCTCAAGGTTCGGATCACCGTGAACACTTTGTGACTGCAATTTAAAACCTTGATTAGAAAGAATCTGAGATTAAAGAGGATAAGAGGTTGCTGATATCTTATATTTCACTGAGAGTGTTAGTGGAACAAATTTGAGAGTGTACCTGTTGTCTTCGAGAATTTTTGTTGAGAGCAAGAAGAGATGAGACAAGCTATGGCCCTTGTGCTCTCGCTGTTATTTCTGTCACTCTTTCCTCTACATTACACAAGGCTTCTCCCATTGCACAGACTTAAAAGAGCGATAATCATCACGCACTAATTCTGCAGAAACCTAGCACAAACAGAATGACTAAAAATTACTCTGCTGCCACAAACTACACGGATGTAACAGTACTTATAAGAATTGCTTCCAGGCTGAGTACTGAGTGGGAAACTGCAAAAACGCCACCAGAAGAACACTAATGCTGATGTAAATTAAAAATGGTGAACTAAACTAGATACATGCCAAATTAGATAATCAACATCAAATATTTTTAAAGTTGTCGGAACTAGTCCTAAATTATGCAACAGCATCAAATAATGAAAAAAAAAAGCCTTAATTTGTAATATTGATTGAAGGCTTTACGAAAGCTCAAAGTCTAATTTGCAGAAATTGAGGGCTGTCATGAGTTATGACTAACGAGTGAGAATGAATATAAATGCGAGAGTTCAATAAGTAAAGTATCGGCTAAACGACGTCACTATGCCCGTTCCTTATCAGAAATTTAGTTCTCGGCCATGATTGATTGCTGTTACTTCCATATAGTAAGTACCAAACAGCCACAGTTCTTAGAAGAGGAAGAAAAGTGTGTTAGATATGATTACTTGGAAAAAGGATTCAATTCCTATAACTATTATTATTACGATGATGGTATCATGTATCTTCTCTCCACAGAAAAAATTGCAAAAACCATTAGATAATGTTTTTGAATCGCCTTTGTTTGAAGCTTTCGTCGCTCAAGCGAAATGGAACCCGAGAGTCCCCTTTGTTTGAAGCTTTCGTCGCTTAAGCGAGTACACTCATCGCTCAAGCGAGATGGAACCCGAGAGTCCCCTTTGTTTGAAGCTTTCGTCGCTCAAGCGAGTACACTCGTCGCTCAAGCGAGTACGTGTTTACAACGTCGGTTATGGTATGAACCGACGTAGAAAGTCTATTTTTTTTAAATGGATGCTTTGTTTATACAGGGTACCCAATGTTTGTATATATACATACCTGCAAATTTGAATACAACCCAGGCAGACAATGTACAAGATATAAACAATTGAATGTGCATCCAAAAATAAAATTGTATCCAAAATTATAGTGTATCCAACTACTTATCTACCAAATACACTAACTACTAATCTAACTAATAAACTAACTAGTAAACTAACTAGTAAAGTAACTAAACTAACTACTAAACTAACTACTAAACTAAGTACTAAATTAATAACTAAACTTGCCTACTTCTAACTTTAACAAACTTATCGGCCCATGTGTTTCTAATATCGTCAATGGTCTCTATGGGCAATGCTTCCCTGTCCGAAAATACCTGTTACAAGAAAAAAGATAATTTAACAGAGTATCCAATGACACAATACTTGGGTCTTTTATTGAATACTAAATTTAAGCAAACCCGATTCCATGTATCCTCAGTCTTGCTAACAACAATCGACCACATCCGAGTGCATAACATAATATCCGCACTCATAAGATCCTGGTTGCCTATTACACTACAAAAAATAATATATTAACTTGACATATAAAATGAATGATATAATACATAAATATAAAATGACTTACATTAACAAAAATCCAATCTGGAGTCGTGCTTTTGCTTGTGTGTACTCCATCAATTGTATTGCAAACCTTAAATGCACTGTGCAATACAAGATATAATGAAACAATTAAGTAACAAAACAATTAATAATTGTTTAAATTATTATAAGAATGTGTACCTGTTTACAATGTTTTTAAGATTCTGCATCAGGTTTCTTGCCAAGTGAG